TCGCCCTTCATCGACATCGCGGACGCCAGACCGAATTATTCTGCGCAGAATTTGTACGTCCAACCGCCGACCCGAGGTCAGCACGGTCATTCGGCGTCCCTGCTGTCGAATGCGTCGCCGACGGGCCTGGACGACGAGACTCAGGGCAAGAGCAATTTGGTGCCACGTGGTGGGCTGAGGTACGACCAAGGCCCGCCGCCACCGGGCGGCGGCATGCCGCCTCAGATGCAGGATGAGGTGCCGCCTCCGCGACCGCCGCTACCCAGGGACCCGAGCGGGACCAACTCTGCGGCCTCGACTGGTCAGTGACAATTTTCTTTTTTATCATTTTTCTCTCTAGGGAAAAATTGTGCCATCCTTTTCATAATATTTCTCGCTTTAAATTCATACATTTTTCAACAGAAGTTGCTGCACCGAAACCTATTCCGTCAATTACTTTGTGTACGAATTTTAAAAAAAATGGAAAGTCTATTCCGTCAGCGTTACTTCCAATGGAATGTTTGCGTTTTGAAATTGATACCAATCACGACATCATTTTTCAGAGGTTGAATGGTTTTTTTTTAAGGCGATAAACACCTTATAAATTAAAATATAGGAATTTCCCCCTCGTCGAAATTCCGCGTGGAGCAAACTTCATTGAAAGAAAAAACTCGAATGTTCAATAATCTCTGAAAAATAGTATCATCTTCATGTGTATGTCCGAAAATACTTGAAAATTTTTCATGAATGTAGGGAGAATTCGGAACGCTTAAAAAAATTAAACGAGGGAATTTCCTCCGCGGAGTTCCAGGTGAAATAAACTTCAGTAAAAAGCACTCGAATGTTATATGTACAATCTCTGTAGAATAGTATAATCTTCACAAATTTGTTCCAAAAATATTTGAAAATGTTTAATGAATTTATTTTAGAAAGTATGTGGAGGATTGCGATTCAGTCATTCAGTCAGGAATGCGATTCTTCACGAGGAAAATCTCCTTTTCCTCCAATGTTACGCTCTCAATGCCAATAAATCTCAGCTTCAGGAAAGAAATGAACTTGACGCACAAAATCGTGATGGCTGCTAAAAAGCATTCCTTTCCCTAAGGACGTGGTTGTTGGAAGCAACATCTGCTTGTATATATGTATATACGAGCATATGAACATATATTTCTTGTGGTTGCCACCTTGTCAGAAGACAGACGTCGATGACGCGTGTCAGATCGACAGGGTTTTCCTTTTTCCTCCATCCTTGTTTCTTGATGTCTGACTTACGTGCTAATCAAGACTGTCAGCAAGCATCGTGGGTCATTTCTCCCGAGATTTACCGCCCATTCCATTTTTTATTATGATCATCTCGAAGCAAAACTGGGTTTTGTAAAAAAAAAAATATGTACATAAATTCTTGGAAGGTGAGCTGGTACCGTCTGAGATTCTTACGTTGGAAACCTATTCAGAAGGTCTTCAGGTGCTGGATTTTTTTTTTTTCAATTTGGCCATTCATTCAGAGACTCTCGTTAAAAAATGAATTTTTTTTCATTTCGACCCCGGATATTCAGTCGCATTTAAATTGGACAAAGTTTTGTTTCAAAGTATTGTTTGCGCCGAAAATCAGAATCTTGGAAGCCTATCATGTATAAATTTTTCCCGATTGAATGATGTACATTTTTTGCACGAATTTCCGAGCAGTCTCGTAATCAAAAATACTGTGCAAAGCTTAACGCATCAGATTTCGCTACATTGAATATTTTTCGACGTTCTTTGGATGTCGATTGAAACAGTTTTTGCAAAAAAATGTTGCGAAAAAAAATTGTTTTTGCAAAAAAATGTTGCGAAAAAAAATTGTTTTTGCAAAAAAATGTTGCGAAAAAAATTGTTTCTGTTTTTAAAAATTTTGGTAGTGAAGTTCGTTGAATTACTTTGAATCGTGTTGAAGGAAAGAAATTTATATGCTATCAGTACTTCGTCATTGATCCGCTTGTAAGGGATAGTCGTCCCGCAATTCCCGTTATATAAATTAATGAAATAACCCTGCCGCTGCGCAAAAAATCCCGCAACGGGAAATCCTGTTCGGATTTCCCGATTGCGCAATGAAAATCCACCC